TGCACTTACTGCAACTCACTGTCGCCTGCAGTTAGCCTGGAGTAGAGAGCATGCATTGTGGATACCGCAACAGTGGGCTTGTGTGATTTTTCCGACGAGTCCAGGTTTAGCTTGCAGTCTGATTCTTGCCAGACTTTCATATGGAGAGCTCTAGGTACCTGTTACCACCAAGAAAACATCATTGAACGACACCGTTACGGTGGTGCAGGAGTGCTCGTTTGGGTGGAAATATTCTGGGTTCCAGAACTGACCTGCATGTTCAAATTGGAACATGACAAGCCAAATCTATCGGGATGTCATTCTGGAACAACATGTACGTTTGTTTCGGGGCACCATGGGCGCACAATTTGTGTTTATGGATGACCACGCCTTTCCTCACCGTGCAAACATTGTAAGCCGTAAGCGAATGCCTTCAATCGGGGGATATCACCCGTATGGACTGGCCAGCATTATCACCGACCTTGAATCTAGTAGAACACGTGTGGGACATGCTTGGCCGACGAATTGCAGCCTGTCAACCTCCTCCTACATGTCTACCGGAACTTCGGAGAGCATTGCTTTTTGAGTGGTGTAATATCCCCCAAGATCAGGTCGATAAAATTTGATACTCAGCATGCCTAGGCATTGTACGGACTGTATTGCATCATCTGGGAGACATACAATGTATTAACAATCACACCAACAATGTAATCTTGGTTTTTTGTAAATAGGTTTTTTTTTTTTTTGTAATTTGCTCCAGGGAGAAAAATTGCTAATTTTTTAATAATATCAAAATATAGCATCTTTTTTGCTCTTTACCTTTTATTTAATAAATAAGCTTTACAAATAAGTCAAATTTGTTTTGCTTCTAACTCTTCCTTTGCCTGATTTTGCATTATCCTTAATTTATGGACATGAGTGTAAATAGCTAAGATCCCACTTTCAAATGACACGGTAGCTCAGCACATTAGATATTTAGCAGCTAATATAAAGAATGAATCTACTTTTCATCTGAAATCATACAAATTTTCACTATGAATGGATGAATCTACCTGTGTAGCTGAACTTCAAATATTAACTGTTATCATTAGGTATCATCCCAAAAATGCATTATTGGAGTATCTTCTGCTATGCAAATCTACCATCATGTACTATCTGAGTAGAAACATTTGATCTCCTAACTTCTTTTCTTGAAGAGAATAAAATACTATGTAATAACTGCAAAGATATCTGCACCGACGGAGCAAAGGTCATGAAGGGCATAATAAATGGAGCTGCACAGCTCATTAAAAATATTGCCAAACACTGTTGTAGTAGGCACTGCATGATCCTTAGGCAGACACCTGCTGCAAAAAATTATCCCCCAGTTATAAGATTGCTGCTCTTCATGAGATCGTCAAACTCACGATTTCATAAAATCTCAGCAATCAAGTAATTGCTTATTCAAAATACTGTGGGAGCACATGGAAAATGTACACACATCTCTTCTTTTACATAATGAAGTGGAGAAACGATATTAACTCATACTTTTAAGAGTTTTTTTTTTTTTTTTTTTTAAACATAATTTCAAATTGAAATTTGATAAAAACTGGCTGCTTAAAATTGCCTACTTAAGCAACATTTTTACAAAGGTTAATGAAGTTAATTGAACCCTTCAGGGTAAAAAAAAATGCAGTTACAGCTCATAAAAAAAATATTTGCGTTAAAAAATACATAACTTTGACAATTCACGTCTGCTCCAATAATTCCGACTGCTTCCTGACAATAAAAGACTTTTTAGAAGCAGAAGGGGTTGAAACAGGGGAGATATTTTTTGAAGAAATTATTCAGCACTCGAAAGGTTTGAATGAAACTTTTAATCAGTATTTTACAAATGAACAGCAGATTAAATATCAGAATGAGATGTAGATTAAATATTTATTTACTGTCAATACATAACCTTTGACAATGTTATCAAAAGAATATGAAACTATTATTGAAATGAAATCTGATTCATTGTTGCAAGAAAATTTTTAATTAATGACATCAGTGGAATTCTGGTAGAGTTTAAAAGACAACTATCCTCAATTGGCACAAAAGGCCGTGTTGAAACTTTTACCATTTACAACCATGTGTGTGTCAAAAACGGGGTTTTCAGTTTATGTATCAACAAAAAGTAAATATCACAACAGATTTGATGCCAAAACTGATATGAAAATTCAACTTTCATCTATAAAACCTGATATTAAGTATATCTGAGATAATAAAAAGCAGTACCACTCATCTCATTAAAATTTTAATTTAAAAACCTTGTTTCAAAACACTTTTCTAAGTTGTTTCGAGATTTTTTTAGGTTCATTTTGAAATTACTTTTTAAAGCAAATAAATATCATTTGAAATAATTGTCATTTTTGTTGCAAAAACAGTGAAATATGTTTAATGTGAAAACGCTTAAGAAGAAATATCGATTAACGCAAAATAATACAACAGTCCCCACAAACTACCATGTATTTTCACACATTTCCCCCCTTAATACGAAACAAAAATCACTTAACATGAAAAGATTCCCTTCTGGAAATGAACAAAATACGGAAAACACCACCAGCCGTGCAGGCAAGACTTAAGAGGGGTGTGAAATGAAAAGAGAGATGGTTTCACATGTTTTGTAGAAAGGAGGCTAACTTGGCTTTGAAATACCTTGCCTGTGACACAAGCCAATTTTGTTTATCTAAGCAACTTTCACCCTCCACCCCTAAAAATGCCACATAAAAACATCTCTCACCAGGAGTACATAGTCGTGTTAGTAAAAACCAGCGAGTTTGGTTTGCGTCTTCTGTTCTTTTTCCCTTCTTTAGAAGATTTTTTTTTACGAGCACAATGGCAAAGAGCTCAAGGGGAAAGCACACTACTATTTTGCTTAAAGTGAAGATGGAGCTTAAGGCTGTTGATCAAAAACAGAAGACAAAAACGGAAATCTGTAAAGATTTTGGTATTGCTAACTCTACATTGTGAACAATAGTTAAACAAAGAGAGCAAATTACAGAAATTTTTTAACAGAGTGAGGATGAGCCAGAGCGAAAATGGACGAGAACAGCCAAGCACGAGGATTTAGAGACGGCCTTTTATTGTTTGGTTCAAACAAGTGAGATCTCAGAATGCTCCCATATCACGGCCTTTAATGCTAGAAAGAAGCACTGAACATGATAAATAAATGGGTATTTTTCTGCAAATCCAGGCTGGTAGGAACATTTCAAGAAAAGAAATGGCATAGTACTAAAAAATGCTTGCGGTGAAGCTAATCCAGTTTTACCGACCATGACAGTTGGTTTCAGTCTACGTTCCCTTTAGTACTTGAAGAATATGAAGTGAAAGATGTCTTCAGCGCTGACGAAACTCAGTTATTTTATTGCTGTTTACCAAGTAAAACTTTATCGTTTAAGAAACAATTGGGTTCAGAGGGAAAACTGTCTAAAGAAGGGATTGCGGTATTGGTAGGATGCAGTTCGGATGGTTTTGAAAAACTACCCCTATTTGTTATTGGCAAAAGTTTGAAACTGCAGCATTTTAAGAATGCAAGAACATTATCAGTCAAATATACTGAAAACACAAATGCATGGATGGTAGCTAGGATTTTCCCTGATTGGATCGTAAAGTTAGATAAGCAGTTCTTATGAGAAAAACGTAAGGTTGCAATGATAATTGTCCGGCTCACTCCAGCTATTAAGTTTATCTTTTTTGCTTCCGAGTACAACAAGTGTCTTGCAGCCTTGTGATCAAGGGATTATACAAAACATGAAATTTTCCTACTGGAAGACACTGCTTTGAAAATATTTACTCGCTATCGAAGCACATGAAGATTTCTCGATCAATTTATTAGATGCTCTTCATATGTTGCATTTTGGATGGAATTCAGAAACTCCAAAGATGATTTAAAATTGTTTTCGTCATGCAGGGTTCTCAAAAGTATCAAATTCTTTGGTGCCAAAAGAAATGGAAAAGGAGGATATTGAAACTGAGCCAACACCTAATGAAATTGGTTGAGAAAGTTTCTGTATTATTGGACTCTTCTACTGCATCATCGGAAAAATTCGTTGCAGTAGATGATGATAATGTGTGTACAGCCCCAATTACGGCAAAGACATTTTGGAGTTTGTTCAAAGCTCAAAAAGCTGTCATTAATGCAGATTCAGATGATGAAAATGAAATGAATGCAGCTCCTGTTCCCATGTCATCCAAAATGAGGAACACCATGAAAATTATGCGCAGTTATTTAGATGCACATTCCAATGGTGAAATGAATAACAAAATGGACATCAAACAGTTTGATGATAATCTGATGCTAAAGCAGACAATGCAAAGAAAACTATGGGATTATTTTCAAAAACTCAAGAAATATTTGGTTTAAAAAAAAAATTGAAAATTTTGTGTTAAAATTTCATTTGTGGATGTTTTTGTTTCATTGATTTTTATTAAATACATGAACATACACATATCTATGTAAATAAAATATACTCTAATAAACTTATTTTGTTGAATATATGTTTTCCTTTTTGCAATATCCTTTAACACAAAAAAATATTTCAGTCCCCTCAGTTTCGTGTTAAACGATTTTCACTGTAATCCATTTACAGAATGTTGCATTAAAACCATTCTACTGAAGCAGACTAGGTGTTTCATGATAAAAATAAACTTTGAAAAATGTTCCACATAAAAAAACATGATTAAGAAATGCTGCTATACAGTATACCCTACTTTGTAAATGTCAGCTTCATGTCATTTCATTTTCATAACAGATATACATTACAATTTGTTTTCATTACGTCATTAACGTAGAATAAATTTATAGACTATATTTTCACTCCTATGAAGGAAAAAAAAAATGTGAAAACAGACTTGATGCCTTTTTTATGCATTAGTTGCCCGAACGTATATAATTTTGAAAGTGCAAATAAATTCTAGGTAAGGGTGCAAGGTGAGTGCCCACAGATAGCTGTATGAGATTTAAGTAACAAAACCTACAATTATATTTCAATCCTTTCACATCATTTGTAAAATTTTTACTTTCAGCACTGAATTTCAGCATACAGATATAAAAGTTGTATACATTGCAATATACATGGCCTAATGAATTCAAATTACAGTGAAAGTTAGCAGATCCTTCTCTCTCTCCAACATACTTGTCTCTTGTACCTTCCTATCACTTTAACATCTAACAATTAAATAATCTATGAACTTCCACGTGTATTACCTCACAATTTTTGGAAGCTGGAGCTACACTGCATTTCATATGAACATTTTCTTTCATAAAACAGAGGTTATCTATGTTGCAAATCATAGAATCATCAAAACAATAAACCCCATTACATATAAATGCATAATGCACACTAATGAAGACACTGCACCACTGCATTTTGTTTTGGTACCAAACTAGAGGGAGAGAAAAAACATTGACATACTATGCGAAATGCAAAACATGAAAAGCAAGTAACACAGAGAAGAATAACATCAACACATTTTTACATACAATTACAAACATTAAATTAAAACTAAACAGGCAAAGAATGAACTAGAACGTTGAAGAATTTTAATGAAATTATTTAAAAAAATTAAGTAAGTAAAACTACTAAATTATTTTAGACCGAGTTGGAAAAGTAATATGCAAAAATAGTAAAAAAAATAATGAATACATAATTCTAATTGCAATATGGAAAAAGCTGCATTATCATTGTCAGATTCCTACTTATCCAAGTAATGCAACTTAATTTGCACCAAAATAGAAAAGAAATAAAACAATTCATTATGAATTTTATTTACGCCAAACTTAAATCTTTAAAAAAAAAAAAAAAAAAAAGTCATTGTTACACATTGTTGGTTTAGGATTAGATTGGATTATTCAATTATGTCAAAGCACACGAGGGCTATCTGCCTAAAGGGAGGAATGCCTTCGTGGAGGCCTTTCTAAGGGAAACTGGCTCGTATACACGTTACACATGGGGAAAACCATGAAAACGCCCATGCAGCCAGCCCGTTCGTGGGATTTGAACCTCGGACCGAACTACCATTGTTCAGCGTCTTTACCACTCGGCCGCTGGTGGCCCCATTGTTGGTTTGAAAACTAGCCATAAGAACATAAAGTCGAGTTACTATTGGCGATTTCTGATCTCGCCAAGAAATACCGGCGAAAAAAGTGTTGGGCATTTTAAAGAAAAACTATGACTTTAAAGTGGGAGGACTTCAATATGACATCTTTTTCTTGTGAAATCAGTTTTCTTCTCAATTCCAATTAGTTGTGAACAAGAAATTAATTATTTTAAATTATTTGTACCTCTGAAAATTAAAAATGACACCCCAACATAAAAAAAAATTTCCAAAACAAAGTTAAAGCAATTCTAATTATTCAGATAGAAATTAAATGAAATACAAATTCATAAATTATGAAAAAAAGTGTAAAAATGGCTAAACTGCCAGAATAAAAATAAATAAGCCATTAGGAACTGTACATAATCCAAGCAGAAATCTGAAAAAAAAAAAAAAATGAAAAACACACATTATTGGTTAAAAAGAAGCTAGAGGAAAGTAAAACCGGGTGATTATTGGCGATTTTTAATCTCGCCACGAAATATTGGTGAAAAAAGTGTCAGAAATTTAAAGAAAAACTGTTATTTACAAATGGATAAAATCAGTTAATTCAAAGCGAACAGAAACATAATTGATTTTGCTGGAAAAAGATGTCATATCATAGTTACATTCCTCCACCTCTTGAAAAAGTTTGAATCTGACAATGATAATACAACTTTTTCCTTATTGTAATTAATATTGTGTATTTTTCATTACTTTTTTAATTTTTCATATTACTTTCCCAACTCAGTCCAAGATAATTTAGTAGTTCCATTAACTTTAATAATTTGATTAAAATTCTACTTTCTAGTTCAATCGTTGCCTGTTTAGTTGTAATTTAACGCAATTACGTAATTTTTTTGACAATCTTAGCAGCAAATGCACAGAATTTTGTTTTTGAAAATCCTAGTCATATAATTTTTTTTTAAATTTTTATATATATAATCAAGAGATAACAATTAAATCAGATAAGGTTTCTGAATGACAGGAAGAATACAAATCAAAACTAAAACAGAAACAAATATAACAAATAGTTTAAAATTCTGTGTTCTTTTTCAAGAAGCAGGTGAAAATTTTTCAACAAAGCCACATTTCAAAATATTGTAGCTGATAACAATAAATAATTCCAAATGCAAAGATAAACAAATTTACTGTAATTTAAAATAAAAATGCAGGACCATTAAAAATTGTAATACTCACACATTCATTCATGTTATAAAATAAATCAAAAATGCAATTAAATTACATTTAAAACTTTTAATATTCTTTTTAATAAATCCACAAGGTATAATCTTCTCAAGGGACCCTAAACAAATAACACTGTATAAATGTTAAACAGTATAAAATAGGAATTCTTAAAATTAGAAATCAGAAAAACAAGTAGACAACTCAAAAGCCATTGGCTAAATTAATTATTTTCAATAAATATTGAACCTAAAAAAAGGCAAAGCTGCTAAAGTGCATTTGCAAATCAAAAGGAATTGAAATTTTAAAGGCAGATTTTAAGGAAGCAAAGAAGAACGCATGTTATTTTAGAAGATAATTACCTAAAAGTAAAGCAAATAAAAATCTTTAAAAATAAATTTTTGCATCAAAACGCTTCCATATTGTGGAAAAACTGTAGAAAAGAATGGAAGGCTATAAGCCTAAACTGAGAAGTATTACAAAACAAAATATGCCTAAAATTAGGGGGGTAAAAATCAAATAATAGATGGAATGAAACACAAAAAAGAATTTAAAATCTGTAAAAATTATGTTTCTTAATTTCACAGTGAATGTTCCACAAGACTGGAACAAAAACTGGCATGAGGTGTTGAATCGAGTTGAGTAGTAGGATAATAGTTTGATAAAATCGAAAACAAAAATTAGAGAACTTTGTTGAACTGCACGAACTCCTCTGCAAAAAGGATTATACGACTTTAATAATCTTAATTTTTAAATTTCTAAACTCTTATTACGTATACATATATAATTAAGTTAAACTATAATTAAGGAGGCAAAGAATGAATTTCAAAAGTTGAAATTTATCTAGATCTTTGCATTTTCTAGCTAAGGAGAGCAAAAAATGAATTTAAAAAATTGAAATTTATCTAGACCTTTGCATTTTCAATTACCAAGAAGTAAGACTTCTAGAGATAAGAGAAGAGATTTCAACTTTCCTTCAAATAAGCTTATTGACTGGAATATTAACATCTCAAAAAACGTTATAGGAAAGACTATCTATAATCAATTACTTCGTATCAAACACATTTGTACACAAGTTGAGCAACCGCAGAAAGAATAATTTTACTTTCACAAACTTTGATTCCTAATCAAGTACCAAAAGCAATTATTGAGAAACAGTATATATAAGCTAGAGCAGTCTATGAACTATGAATGTTTTATCACATAATGCAACCCATTCTTAACCTAACAGGAGGAATTAAGGAGAATGCGTGAGAAAGATTCCTAGACTGTAAAATAAGTAAAATTTTCCCCTACATTTGTTGGATTAATTTTCTCACATCCTTGCTTTCATTTTAACTAAAAAATGCCCAATTTCGAATTCTGAAACATCGCTTTTAAGGCAGAAAAATCACGAAGACTGTTACTCTGTTCTAAAATTCTTTATTTTCATTTTTCTTAGCCTTTGCTGGAATTTAATTACATAATGCATTTGAAAATTAAACTTTTTCTTTAAAATGTTTGAAACTTCTTTATTCAATATTTCTTAGCCAGATTCAAAATCGCCAATAGTAGCCCGGATTTACATTCCTACTGCCGCCTTTAGCAACCAACCGTTTGTGAGTCCACCCCTTTTTTTGTTTTGAGTTTTCAGCTTAGGAGTAACTATTGATTTTCCTGGCTTATTTTCTTAATTTTTTTTTAATATTGATGTGGAACAGATTGAATTACACAAAATTTAACTTACTGTAAAAATTTCCAATCTTATCATTGTTAATACATTTTCGTTTATATACTTTTTTTTAATGGGCAGTTTAGCCCATAAAAAAGGAAAAAAGTATATAAATGAGTGAATAAAAGTATATATTTTTTCCTTTTCCTTTTTGAATACTTTATGAAAATATAATTCATTAAATTTCAATTTGAATGTTTCAATTCATTTACTTTATATTGGTAGACTGGTTATATAAGGTTGGCGTTTTTAATTTTAAGAGGTTCAAGTTATTTAAAATAATTAATTTAGGTGCCTCAGCTAATTGGAGGCAAACAGAATCTTAACTGATAATGGCAGAAAAAGCAGTAGTATTAGTGTGAAGATTCTTCCACCTCTTGAAAAAGTTTTAATCTGATGGTGATAATATAGCTTCACCTGTTTTATTTGCTAATGCTCTAGCAATTTTTCTAAAAAGGCTCTTCTGTTGCCAAACCTTTTTCTCTTTTCAAGATAGGGGCATATAAACAAGACATAGATAACAGACAGGGGGATGTGAGAAGATATTAAAGACAACTACTAACTCTAATTTAATCTTTAGATGCTCATTTTCATTTGGCTACATCCCCTTCCTGTCTTAGAAACTACTAATATGTGAATCTAAATTGCATCATCTGAAAATTATACTGCATTACGCTGTAGGAATAGCATTGCAGATAATTTTTATCCAATCGCATTTAAAAAATACTATGTCTATAAATAGCTCCTTGCTGCAATGTACAGTCACCTTTCCTGAATTTTTCTTGCTGTTTGCGTGTGTCATTCTGCACTCTATGTCGTCCATCATATCAAAACATGATCAGTCACATAAAATTGTGGGGTACTTATTGCATCAATAATGATAATGTGAAAAGATGAATATGTGTAGGCTTAACATCCGGACATTCCTGATTTTTCAGTGCTGTCCGGGGTTGCAAAAATATACAGGGTTTAAGAATTTTTCGACTCATGAGGAGTTTTTTAAATTTTAGATCCATGTGTTCGTCATCTCATTTTTAAACATTCTCCTACAGCGGTTCATCTTTCAGCTAACCTTGGAGCAAGTGCTGACATTGATTTTGACATAAGCACGGTTTCTGGTTTTGCCACAACATTTTACTTAGTCACTTGGCAACACAACAGGGGCAAAGTGTGTTGTTTCTGTGTGTGAAGCAATTCGTCTACACATTTTTTGAAAATTTTAGCTCTACTCATTTTTTTGTCTCACTGCTTAGCAATAGGCAAAGGAAAATGTGTATTTAATACTAACCTGCAACAGGAATACAAGTTTTTGAAATTATGTAACAATGAATGCGTTTATTGCACGCTATGTATTGCAGAATTTTTTGTTGCATGCAAAGGACAGGATAATATTAAATACCACATGAAAAAAGCTATACATAGAAGTGCTATTAATGGTACTGCTTCAGTAAATTTAGATTTTTTTTAAAAGCCATAGACTCAAATGACAATAACAATGACCTAAAGTGTGCTGCTAAAGAAACTACATTTTCATACCACATTGCTAGATATGAACTCAGTTTCAAAACATCAGACTGCACATTTAAACTGGCTAAAAAGTTATACAACCCAAAATTTTCATCTGCTAAAACCAAAATAAAGCAAATTATTGTGTATGTTATTTTATCATTTATGTTTGATGTGTTCTTTGGAAAATATTAATTATGTAACAATAATGACAAACAGCTCGAACACACGTGAAGTAAAACTTGTTCTGACTGTTGCAAGATATTTCAGTCTTGAGGAGGGAATTTAAGCTAAACTTTTAAATCTCAATGAAGTGTCAGGGGAAACCGATCAAATTTTGACTCAATATCTTTTGCAGTGTGTGAAAAAATACAAACTTGAAGGTTCCTTAATTTGTTACCTGCAATAGAAAGAATACTTTCCATTTTTGATGGCCTAAAATCAAATTTCTTATCTTGTGACAAATGCCCAAAATTATTAATGATATTTTTTTTAATGTAGAAAGTGAACTGCTTTTGAAATTTTTATATGGTGCTCTACATTTATTTAATAATGTCATTTTGAAATTAGAAGCTAATTCTATCACAGCAACAGAAGCATTTCAGACATATTCTGAATCAATTTGTCAACTTCAGGACAGAAAATCCCAAAAATTTATATCATCTTCAGCCAAAGAATTGCTATATATTCTAAAAGAAAATAATGATGTTCAGGAACAAAAAATATTCTGAAGCACTGACATATTTTATAATCCTAGTATTCAGTACTTGGAGAATCAGTTTTGATAAAGTTAGTATGTTTCAGTGGATAAATTTAGAAACTGAAATTGCCTGGTCTGATTTATAAATAAGTGCCTAAGTTGTTAATGGAAAGTACCTAAGTTGTTTAAAAGATTACATTAATATTGACAATATTTGAGAGATATATATTTCTGAACCAGATAATTCAAAACCAAAGGGTAGACTGTGGTTCAGATTCTGAAAAAGCACAAGAAACTATCAAATAGAAGTCAAAAGAATTTTTAAGGTGTTTCAAAAGATTGATATTTAATGTTGCAATATTTCTAAAATTGTTAAATTTGTGATATCTTTGCCTGTGACATGCTCCAGTTGAAAGAGTTTTCTTAATAATAAAAAATATTTCGTCAGCAGAAAAGGGTAGACTTTCAGTATCTACTGTTAAACATCTGCTAAATGTTAAAATTAATTCAGAACTTTCTTGTTGTAAAACAATTTCTAGAAAAAGTGGTCTAGTGAAAGATATAACTGAATACATAAAGTTTAATTTTTCCATATAATGTAAAGAATAAGTAATTTCAAAAATATTACCTGGGTTGGACTCCCCCCCCCAAACAAAATATGGTAAGCCTAAATATACGTTCTCAAAATTAGTTATCAAGGAATAAAATTATGTGTTGTATCTAACTCAAGTCTTGTTTATTCTGTCATCACTCACTTCTTTTAATATTCATTAACGTTAACTAAATTAAAACAAGTACATAACATGTATTTAAAAAATTATAATAATACTGTATATCCATAATCAAGTGTGCTTCCCTAAATGAATAACTTCAGTAGTAGCAAAATCTAAACTTGTACAATTTAGATTTTGCTACTAAAGTTATTCATTTAGGGACACTGCACTGAAGCCCATGGATAACTATAAACAGCAGAGACTGAAGGCAATTATCTCTACTATTTTTAAAAATATCACCAGCAAATCATTTGTGGAATACACATTGAGAAAATGACCAATGCAAAGCCCAAAAGCAACCAAAAAGACACACTGAAATCAGTAAATACAGATTCGATAAAGAAGGTCTCGATACTTAACTTTCACTGGAGATTCAACTCACTAAATGACCGGAAACAATTGAATTTCCATATTTAAGGTAATGGTTGAGTGAGATTGAATTGAGAAACACAGTAATTATATTAACATAATGTAATAAATCGAAATCATAAAGCTACTTTTGTGATAAATTAGAACAATCCAGAAATCACTTATCAAACTCTCATGTGATTACACTTGTATATTTTTTTAGATGTAACTTACCATGAAGGACTATATGGTGGAGGAGGAGGCATTAAATTTCGCAGAGTTCCAGTTTTTGTTGCTGTCCTACAAGAAATAATAATGTACTATAATCAAAGTAAAAATTCACTGAGTTAGCAATTCACTAGAAACACTAAACTAAAAACTCACTGATCTACTTTTTCAATAGCATCATGACCTGCTCAGACCAAGAAATACATTCAACACATTTTTAACATCCCCTGTTACTGAGTGAGCAACTCCACTGTAGCAATTGTATGGTTTACACATATTTTGGAAATACGGATAAGTAGCTCTCACAACCAATTCTAGGCTACGCCAAAACTGTTCAATCAGAGACAGAAGAATTTGGGGACCAACATAATGCAACAAATTTCACTGCATTCCTCCAACCACTGAGCAGTTGTCCAATGACAAGGTGCATTAACTCGCTAAAATGGTACAGACATGCATGTAGATGCACTGAAGCCAGGGACACAGGTCAGCAGCAAATAGCAATCACTGACAACTAGTAGAATTAAGAAATGTCAGAAAAAGGCTTTCCCAAAATACAGAATTATAATCTATCAGCCTGTTAAAACCTAAATATTTAACCAGAGGATGCTGCTTGATACATTTAACACCACATGTGAACCAGGCCATTACTATGAAGAAGTAAGAAACAATGTTATAAGCATTTTTCTGTCTGTTAAGGGATCATTGTTATCTCCCCTTGATGTATGTAAGGCACTGTTTATATGCTTAAGCATGACCTTATTTACACACTATAGTCTTTGAATATAGAACTTCAGGAAATATAACAATGTATGGGCATGACAAAACAGGCACATCTGCACTGGAAAGTGAGCTGTGTATCAAAGTAGTTTCATGTGAAGATACCAGTCATGATGCATGTGCTCAACTTTAGCAATGATGAGACTACAGAATCTACTTTTGGCTCATCTCATGATACAGATTTTGTGAAATCTAGCAGTTTGTAGATGCACATTTTAAAAAGAGTAGCAAACTAGGCCAATATCTTTCAAAAACTAAACAATCTCAGAAAAAATAGTTTTAAATTGTAGCAAATCAAAGCAGCATGTAACGAAATATTTTATTTAAGAGAATAACAAAAAAGAACTAATTTTTGAACAAAATACTTTGCAGTTTCTTATGCTGAACTCATTTCTGTCTTATCAAAAGTTATTATGTAAAATAATGTTTCAAATTTACACAAGCAGACTGACATTTAAAATTTATTTTCGTACCCAAATGGAAAAATATATGAAATAATTTTAACATGCAAGAACATGGCAAGAAAAAACAATTACATTTGTTACTTTAATGCTAGTTTCAGCATTAAAATTTATTATATACTATGTTCCGTTTACTATTTGTTTTTCACGTACCATAACAAACAGTTTTTAAAAACTCTTTAGCTCCTGTTTCATATTATAGCATTAAATTTCAATAAAAACAGTTATGCACAAGATAGTAAAAAATTCTCCTTATGCCGAATTGTTGCACGAATTTCGCATTTTGTGTTTTAGTTTAAAATATGGGAGAAGGAATTTGTTAGCTGGCACAGTAATCACAACACGGCTGTATAATCAACCACATACAGCTGGCTAGCACTGGTCCTTCAGCTGAATGTCTATTCATGTTTCCTTTAGTCCTGGTATACCACTGGCATAATATTATGGTCAGTATAATACTACTGAATGATCCAACTGGTTTGTTATTCAAACATTTTATTCATTTGTTGTAGTTTGTATTATATTGCAATTTTACACAAATTTTTCTCACAATGAATGATGATTATTCAAAATGGTTTGCATAATGTTGGTCTGATCCAGCAAATGAGATTCAGAGAAATATATGGAAACTTAAAGAATGTTTGCCAAACCAGTCTAATACCTCTTGCACAAGATATGAAGGAGTACTGCCCTACATAAATAATCCAATTTCTGTACGGTAAGAAATTTCTATATCTTTTGGAACATGGAGTATAAACAGATACGCCAAGTTCATAATTATGTTAACATACTTGGAACCTGTCAAAATAAATTTAGAAAAAAGGCTAATATATTGACCCCCACTAACAGTCAATCCCAGCAGGTAAGAAGGTTTTACTGTCACACATGTTCTGTAAATGTATCATCCACCCAAACAGTTATACTACCAACCTTCATAGTGCAGTGTTGACATTCTGTAGTCTAAGTAAGGTATCAATACAAAGTATTCTGTAGTCCAAGCAGATCTGTCGATTGATGACCACAGATGCATAATGGATTTACTAGCGCATTCATCAGTACTGCCATCAAAATGAAAATATTTTGGCTCAATATTGTCAATGTTTGAAGTTTACCGTTTTTGGCAATGATAAAGCTTCTATGACCATCTCTTTTTGTTTTCAACATTGGCATATTTCCGAATTCAGATAATCATGGCTGATCCTCAAAAATTGTTGCCTATGAACAAACATCCAAAAGTGATCGCCATCTGAAAATTGACCCTCCATATTATTTTAGCATCTTTAGTTAGAGGACAGCTAGTGTTCTTCATATGGCACAGCAATCCCTAATATGCTATAAAATGCTTAAACATAAGGTACATACACCACATGAAGTCAGGTTGCAACCCACACTCATGGATCTTATAAGAAATAGACTAACCCAAACGGGTTTTCTCCCTCGTCTGAGGCGTTGTCGGCTGTCACTTTGATCACATCCGGAGGAGTAGGGACGACTTGCAGAAATTTAACATTGGTTGGCTATTGCAGCGTCTATAATTGTCAAGAAAAAGCTGGTTGTAGCGCCACATTTCACAAATTAGAATTTCTACATATTTTTATTTTTGAAATTTAGATTGATTTAAAAAAAATTAGCGTATTTATCAAGCATAATTAACATTCCAAATAATTATAAAGCTATTGCATGCTTTCAGGGCTGGATATTTTTTTAGCTTTTCCTATGTTGTAAGAAAATTTGTAACTACTTCTTTTAGAAAATAATATTTTAAATCTGAACTAATAGAAAATTTCAAACAAGCAATTTTCTCTTGCAATTTTTATGCTTTTTATTTTATGCTTTATTATTTTTGAAAGTTTTGTTTAAAATTCTAAATTGTGCTGCTTTTTTAAAATTATAGATGAGTATTATAGCACAATTTCTATAAAGGAATTTTATTTCAATTATCTTTCATAATACATCATAGTGATAAACACTTTTAATGCCTTTTATTTAAATTTTTATACATTTAACGCTATATATATTTTTATACATATAACATTTTTATTTAAATTTTTATACATTATTTTTAACGCCTTAAATTTTTATACATTTAATTCTAATATTAAAATTGTATTTAACCGTAATAATTAATTTTGCTTGTATTTTATAGTGACTATTTTTTTAAATTTATTTTTAGTTCTGCATAACATTTTTTTTTTATTTACTGTTAATTTAATTTATTAACCCAAAGCGGCGGTAGCCTAGAAAGGCTGTTAGTTTCTAAGCGGCATTTTGCTTTGTTTTACTATAAGTGTCCGTGTCTCCTTGCAAATTGTTGTTACCAAATATTATCGCCCTGTATTATACGTAAAGAAATTAAATATTGAAGAAATTTACATGAATACGATTATGTTTCTTGCACTGTGACAAAAACAACAGTATCTAGAGCCATCAAATTTTGAATAATGTAATCCTCCAACCGAACATGGGCATCTGGACGCCGAATTTCGAATTTATTTTAATCTATTTCATATTTTGTAAAACTTTAACGAATTTTTGATTCACAAACTCAACGAGTTCAGAGCGAGCACTGTACGGAAAATAACAGTTTTATCTCCAGTGCGGAAATTCTAAAGATACGCTGTTTTCAAATGTATGTGGTTTACGGGCGAAGAACATGATATTCAATAAATATAGGTAACACACAAAACTTTAAAAAAAGGTTCGTTTTGGACGGAATATAAAATTTGAGTGCTTCTAGCTTTTATTTTATCTTTTCTTTTTTTCCCTTCATTACGCTTAGAAAATTTTATGCTCCGAATGTTATGAATTATTAAAATAACTAATCCACTTTAATGTTAATAATTTAATGATCATATAATCAAATAAATATGATCGTTTTTTAATGTTATTAGAGTTTGGAAAATCACTGCCTGAAAATTTTCATTAAAATTTTTTAAAAATAATTATCAGATCTTGTTTAATTTTACCTTATTTATGTCAAAGCATCACGTACTATCAATCTTATTTAATTTTACTTTACTTTTATGCAAAATTAAGTTCATTAATTTTGTGCTTAGAGCTTTTACTGTTTTACCACAGTAAAGATGTTTGTACAAAAATTACGCGTGAAAAAAAAAATGCGCGAAATGCAGTAAAAAGTGCTTTAATGAGATATATTAAATCCTATTTGGAAAAAAATAAGCAATAAAAAAAACTGCCCACAAGACTTTGAAAACAATGCATGCTTTGTCTTCTAAAAGCATGTAACAGATTATGGGGAAAAAAAGATATTTTTGCTGAATGCAATACTTCTGAAAAAACATAAATATGGATGCATCTTCTGCTGTTATTAGCATTTGATAGATTTATCTAAAAACTCTCTTCCTGAATTAACTTTCTATGAGATTTATTAGGGAAGCTGAAAATGTATTTGCCAGAATACCCATAGCATCCTATATTAGCTAGCCAAATTTTCATATCTTTTACACGTTATGCAATCTACAAAATATACTTTTACAGTTCATTAATCAGAATATTATTGTTTATATTAGAATGATATGTTGATATTGTTGACCGAATTACGCTTATATGATTATATTAAAATATTATTGCAAATTATTGTTTTCCAGCACAAGCAATCCAATTACATTTTTAACAGTTAGGGTCATTTTTCAGCATTCATGTATAGTAAACACAAAGACTGAAATTAAAATAAGTAGATAAAAGGAATTTAAGAAAGTAAGTGGTAAAATAAAGTACAGCAAATGAAATGTTCTCTCAGTCTTTCATTAATTTTTCCTGGTTTTGACTATAATCCTGGTTTGAATGTATCATCTGTCAAGCAAAGCAATT